AATTTTATTTATTTATTTTATTATTATTTTTTCTATAAAATTAATAATTTTAATAATAAAAAATAAAAATATTTTAAAAAATACACTTTTTGGTTTTTAAACATGTCCTTATTAGTCATTTGATGTTAAACAACAACCGCTAACTATTGTATAATCAAATAGTTATATTTATCGAATCCGCTATTTACCATCTGCTACCCACTTTCCGCTATCCGCCAGCCGCTATCAGTTAACCGTCACCCGCTATCCGCTACAGTTATCTGCTATCCGCTATCCGCTACCCGCTACCCGCTACCCGCTATCCGTTGAATTTTAACAGCTGTACCAAACAGGCCCTTAGAATAGGCGGATTATATCTCCATGATAATTAAGTAGGAATCAATTTATATATAAATTTATATATAATATGAATAATTAGTGTTTTAAGTTAATTTTTATGTATCTTAAAATTATTTTTTTTTAATATTTTTTAAAGTACACCCTTCTATATTGACTTAATTCACTCAAAAAAATTAACATTTTAAGTATAAACCCCTAAACTTAAATAAAATACTTAATTTATAAAATGACACTTACTTAATCATTGATATATATTTTTTTATTTGTCCGTTTGGTTTGCAAAAATTTCAATTTGGAAAATATTTTCCATGGAAAATATTTTCTTTTCCAAAATTTTTTTTTTGAGCAGCAAACATATTATTTATTAATAAGCGGAATACAAGGGGTACTCCAAGCGCAAAAGTTAACGCAAGGTGTCGACAGCCAAATGAAGTGTCGGCACTATACCCGTGCCGGGGTTTCCGCCATCTTTTGCATTCTTTTCCAAAAGTTATTTTATGATGTTTGAAATACTTTGAAAAACTTTTTAAGAAAAATATTTTCAACTGTTTAGTAAGTTATAGAAAATCTTTTTAAAAAATGTATTAGTTATTAAAACTAGGTTAAATACCCTTGTTGGTTCCTCTACTATAAGAAAAAGCTTTTTTTTTTGTCCATGTACCAAACAAATCCCCTTTTTAGTCTTTAAATTTTAAAATCCGACCCCTTTTTGATCCTTCTGTTAAATTTTGCTAGCGTGGCACGTTATCTTAATAGCAACATTCGACATGGACATTCCATCCTGTAAAGGCGCTTATGTGGACTTTAATGACTCACTTAATGACTCTCCCACAAACCCTAATCAATGTTTCTAGTTCTCTCTCTAGCTATCATCTTCTTTCTTTCAAAATTCTTGTTTTTCATTTATAATCAATCTTTTATATATGAGATTCGTTAAGATATAATCCACAATTCATAAGAATATTTTCATTGTTAAAAATAAAAATTCATTATTAATTAAAATAATTTATCAATACTTTAAACATTAATTTCTTCTCTGTAAATTAGATCCTTCACTTTACCCATAGCAACATGAACACAACATCAACCTATTACCTATAATTTTCAAACCCAGATATCAAACCCAAATATCAAACATATCTGAACATGAAATTTTGGTTTCATTCGGCTCCTTTATGGAAGATATACACATTCAAAATTAAAAAAAAAAATGAAACAAAAAAGAAGGTCTGTGGAACCCAGATCTGGGTTCTACCAAAAACCCAGAAACTGGGTTCCCCGAGGAACCCAAAAACTAGGTTCTTCGAAGAACCCAGAAACGGGTTCCTCCCGAAACCCAACAATTGGGTTCCCTGAAGAACCCAAAAACTAGGTTCTTTGAAGAACCCATAAACGGGTTCCTTGAGGAACCCAAATTTGGGTTTTTTGAGGAACACAATATGATCAAGACTTGAAGAGGATGGTGGATGCCGAGGATGAGAATGAGGAGGAGGATAAGGCTGAGGAGAACTAAGAAGATGAAGAAATTAAAATTAATTTCATTTAAATTCTTTTTATTCATGGATTAAGAAGTTTAGGAGAAAAAATATTTAATTCCATTAATTAAAATATTTAGTGTTTCTTTTTTGCCACGTGGTATTAAAATATTTAAATGAAATATCCACGTAATTTCTATATCATTATAATATTATTTATATAAAAAATAATCAATTAATTTCGTTAATTAACGTGACACATCAGCAAAAATTTAACAGAATGACCAAAAAGGAACCGGATTTTAAAATTTAAGGACAAAAAATGGATTTTTTCAGTACAGGGACTAAAAAAGGGTTTTTTCCTATAGTAGAGGGACCAAAAAAGGTATTTAACTTTAAAACTAAACATTAAAATATATTAATTAATCAATAAATTGGTTTGTAATCAGTAGTGTCAATTTTTAGGCAGAAATGGATTATTGAAATATTCCCCTATTTTCGGAAATTCACAAACCATTAATATGAATTATTTCTTTGAATTCTTCATTTTCAATAACTTCATCACCTTTTATTTTATGATTTCCCTATATTTCTCTTAATTCATAAACCCTCTATACTATTTATCCTTTGATTTCCCTAAATCAATTCTACTCTTCTCCAATTTCACTTTCAAATCTCTTTTTGGAATCATTGAAAATTTGAGGGAGTAGAGGAAGAACAAATGAAAAACAAAATGTTGTGGAATAGGTTCAACTCGTTAAAAAAAAGCTTCTTTGGTTGGCGCCTTTCTTTGGTTCATTTGTCGATTTGATTATCATCAATCCAATCACGATAAGATAATCTTATCAACAGGAGTATTTCCTTGGCACAAGCTAGTTTACAGTGTGTGCTTTGTGAATTACATCAGGAGAATGCACAACATCTATTTATTTCATGCGAAAAATCTCATGTTGTACGGTTGAAAATTTCTGGTTGATGGGATTTGAATCCAAGTAATCATGGTCGGTTGAATACATTTTGCTTTAACTTTTATGGGACTCGTATGGGAAATAAGAGCAATGGTTATGTTAGCATTTCTTTGAAGCATTTGGAGTATTAGAAATATAAGATTATCCGCGACTCGCGTCGTGCACCTAGAAAATGGTGGGTGAATCTTCTCGACGAAGATTGCTACGTATACAAAGTTTCGAACTCGAAACCTTACATAAGTTAGAACAAGTCACTTACCACTTGATCAAACCCCTCATTGGTCATTAAGAATCATGTTAACTGTATATATGCAACGTTTTGGTATTTAGATGTTGAATTTTAATATTGTGTAAAAGTTTGTATTTTTACATTTAACAAACCTATTTTTTTTTTTTTAAATTTACTGGTCCTTACCCTTAACATGCTGTTTCTTACAGTAAATTAAAAATTTTAAAATAGTAATATATTTTATTCGTATGTCTATCCACAGAGATAAGGTGGGGCCTGAGGGGCACAGGCCCCTTAACTTTCAAGAAATAAAAATTTTAGTCCATGAAATTATATTTTTATTATTTCAACCTTTGTTTACTTTATATATTTTAATTATTTTTTAACCCATATTTTTTCAAATATTAGTTTTAGTGATTATTAAAAAAATGAGAAAAATAAAGATAAAATAAAATATGATAAAAAATAAAGATTAAATGAATACAGAACTCTTTAATATCATTCTCTTATAAAATAATTATTTATTAATGCTCTTTTTTATTTATCAATACCTTTTTACTTTTTTTTTAATTTATTATTATTTTTCTATTCAATATATATTTATTTTGTCTTTCAATTGATGTCATATATACAATATTATACTATTAATTAATATTAATTTATTATTAAAAAATAACAAATCTTAATTTAAAATATTAAAATTTCTATTTTTATTAACTTTTTATTTAATGCAAAGATTCATAATTTTTTTCGTCAAAATTTCAGTCCGTCTCCTTTAAAAAATTTTTTTGACTTTGCCACCGTCTGGAATCGTGTTGTATCCGTACGTGTTGACTGTTGTATCTTTGTTTTGTATATACACCATTGTAATAATTTGTGATGATCCCCAATTTGTAGATCATATGGGAAAACACGGAAGCTGCTTCGGATGGGGTACCGCACTTGGTTTATATTTCCAGAGAGAAACGACCAAAGCATCAACATCATTACAAAGCTGGCGCAATGAATGTCCTGGTGAGATTTTCAATCTTCTATTAAAAGAAATAATAATCCCTTCTTTATTTTTAGGAGTGTTAGTTTGAGTTATTAACATTTTAAATATAAATTTAAGATAAAAATTTAATATATTATTATATAATATATTAAATTTTTATATAGAATTGATATTTAATTAAAAAAATAAATTAAAATGCTTAAAAATGAACAAAAATAATAATACGTAAAGTATTTATGATCATACATTAGCTTAAATAATTAAATATTAAGTCATTGAGATTGGCCTAAATGGCAACAAATTTTCAATTTCTTTTTTTTTTTAATGAAAGAAACCAACTAATTAAAACCCTTATAAATAGTAAAAAAGAGAGAAAATATAAAGGTTTGAATTCTAATCAAACATTTAAGGAAGTGCCTTACACCAGCCTGTTGCTCTAGGCTTTCCTTATGTTCAATTTCTTTTTGATAGATTAATGTAAACAATTTTATATAGTCAAACTTACCACTATTCTTAAAAAGTAGAGTTTTGTCCAATACCTTTAAATGGGATGGTTTGCCAATGCTGTGAAATTGGTTAAATTAAAAACTTATATACCATATCATTCGGACAAAGATAAAAAAGGTAGCATTTGGCATAAAAGGTCAATTAATTATACGTTTTTTTTTAAAGTGCACGCCTTAACTTTAATTATTGAATTCAAATTATCATCTCTCAAATTTGTAGCCGTTCCAAAAAAAAAAGCTCAAATAATATTTGGCTTTCGTATGATATAACAGACTCGAGTCTCTGGGTTGATGACAAACGCTCCGTTCATGCTGAACGTAGACTTTGACATGTTTGTGAACAGTCCAGTGGTTGTCCGTCAAGGAATGTGTGTGCTTCTTGGCACAAACAATGAAAGAGAAAGTGCTTTTGTCCAGTTCCCACAAATATTCTATGATGCACCTAAGGATGATCCTTTTGGGAATCAATTCGTTACTTTGTTCCAAGTGAGTCCGTCACCTTGGAAACAAAATCAATTTGTGTTTATTCATAATAAAGTTAATTAATTTCTTTATCCGTTCTTTTCTTGTTAGTATTTGGTTCCAGGAATAGCGGGAATCCAACGGCTTTTCTATTGTGGAACAGGATGCTTTCTTAGACGAAAAGTTATATACGGTTTATGGCCGGACGATGAAGATACTTCCATCGTTGGTATATATCTCATTCTCATTCATTTGATCAATTTTTTTTTTTTTTTTTGATATGAATGATCAACATTTTTTTTTGATATGAATGATCAACATTTTTTTCTTCCTTCAAAATTAACCCTCTCTTATTACCTTAGTAGTCCACTAGTAATATCTTTGGTCAAGAACTCAAGATTAATTTTGTCATCTGACACTCCTAATTTTGTATAGTGTAGTTTGAAAATTCTGTCTCGACCGTACAGGGAACTTAAGTGACAATGGTTTGGTAAAAGAATATGGGAATTCAAAAGAGTTCTTGGAGTCGGCAGCTCGTGCTTTGAAAGGGAAGATAGAATTTCCGACCAACCTTTCAAATAATCTTGAGGCAGCATGCCAAGTTGCAGGTTGTGCCTATGAGAATGGTACTGACTGGGGAAATAAGGTTAGTAACACAACATATATTTATGGAAATTAAAGGTTTTTAAGAGTGAATTCGCGCTATAAAAGACAAAAATACTATCACAAATAAATTAGAAATGTACGAAAAAATTATTAATGATTTTTTATTTTCTTTTCACACGCAAATTGATGTAAAATTGCATTCTTTTACATAATACATATACAGTCAGCTAGATTTCCTTCTGGATTCCTAAACTAAGGTTTTAAAGTTTAGTCTTCTGAATTTTTCAAAAATTAAGTTCAGGTTGGTTGGATATACGGATCGACTACCGAGGATATCTTGACAAGCCTGATAATTCATAACAAGGGGTGGATGACCATTTATGTAGCGCCGGATCCACCAGCCTTTTTAGGCTGTGCGCCATCAGTTGGTCCGGTGGCCATGACCCAACAAAAGAGGTGGTCTACAGGCTTACTTGAAGTTCTTGTGAGCAGGAACAGTCCCATATTCGGCTTCCTTACAGCAAAGCGTCAATTTAGACAGTGTTTGGCATATGTTTTTTTGTTGTCTTGGAGTATAGAATCAATTCCTGAACTTTGTTATGCTGCTCTTCCTGCATATTGCATCATCGCAAACTCCCATTTCTTGCCCAAGGTCTGGATTTCTTTCTCCCACACTTCCGTATTATTCAATTCAGTTTTTTTCTTTCTTTTTTTTTTTTTCTAACAAATTTAAGAACAAATGTAACAGAACAGTTTGACAGCCAGTCCTAAAAACATTAATTAGCTCAGTATATGAAAATAACAAAAAAAAACTCTTAATGAATCAAGGAGCATAAAGATTCACTAATGTTGTGCGTGTCTTTTACCACTCTAGACTGAAAAAAACATTTTCTATTCATTTTATAATTAAATTTGTAATTGGGGCGCTGTTACTGACAAGTTTCTGAGTATATAAATAAGAGAAAAGTGTACAGTTTTTTTTTTTTTTTTTTTTTTTGACAGTGAGAAAAGTGTAAAGTTTGAATTACACAGTATTGACATCTGTTTTGTAGTTTAGAACAAGAGACCCTAATGATAATAATAATAATAATAATAATGATAATAATAATAATAATAATAATAATATGCCATAACTAATTTTGTGAATGCAGGTCCATGAACCAGCTATATGTATTCCTGTTGCCATTTTTGTGCTTTACAACCTGTATACCCTGCTGGAATACTTGAAAACAGGACTGTCCTTCAGAGTATGGTGGAATAATCAGAGAATGGCAAGAATAGCAGCAACAAATGCATATTTGTTTGGAGTTTTAGGTGTTTTGCTTAAGTTCTTGGGACTTTCCGAAACCGTCTTTGAAGTAACCCCAAAGGATCAGCCAACTGATGATGATGTCTCCGAAGCTAATACTGAATTTACATTTAATGAAATGCCACTTTTTGTGCCGGGTACAGCTGTTTTGCTGGTGCACATCACCTCAATGTTTACCATCTTGTCAGGGCTGCGACGGCCAGTTTCCGGTGAGAATGGGGTTGGACCACTTGAGGTCTTGTGCAGCATTTGGGTGATCCTTTGTTTCTGGCCTTTTTTAAAAGGGCTGTTTAGGAAAGGAAAATATGGGATCCCATTACCCACCATATTTAAGTCTGCTGCATTAGCATTAGTTTTTGTGAACTTATGTTGGGCCTCAGTGGGTTGAGACATGATTTCTTGATGTATATATTGTCAGCAATAAATAAATGCAGCTTAATTAGACAATACTGGCATATAATTGCAGTTATATGTTTAAAATCCTTTAATATCATAAAAATATAGAAAATATATTTTACACATTTAATATTTATTTTAATTAATATTTTATATATTTTAAAAATAATAAAAAGACATAAAAATCAAATAGTAAAGTATTGTGAAATATTGTCAAATTAAACTCTAATGTTGTAAAAACCTAAAAGGGATATGCATATATATATATTTTTATCTTATGTTGCATAATGAGAGACAACCTTCTCTAATTCCTTAAATTATTTCACTTATATATTATGTGATTTAAATTTAGAATCTCTTATATTACTACTGAATTATTTAGGTATTAATATATGCAGATGTGTTTTTAATACGAAAATAGAAAATATCATGTTGAAGGGCTTCACATCTTTTTATATGATTATTTTCATCAAATGCAATAAGCCATTATTATAAATATAAAACCAGTAAGTTTGCTTATTTTAACATCCAGAATTTAAATAAATCAGCCAGCTGCAGCAATTTAGGCAGGTGCTTAGGTCCAAAATACAAACGTACTTCCACTCTTGCTCTTTCTGTTCATGTTTTTCACTTTCAGCACAGATAATTTGAATACACACAGATCGTGAAGATTACTAAAATGTAAAACAATAATCGGTACCTGACAGACCGGAAGCGATTAATTAAGTGTTATGCTACGCTAAACATAATTAAACTCAAAATTGCTGTATTTTCACTTTGAAATACCAGAGTTGCAGAACGAGCAAGATGAACTTACTAGTGCCAAATCATCCATTCTAGATTCAGTTCCGTTTGGGTGGCGGCCAACATTGATCTAGGGCCAACTAGTAGGCCCAAGAACATAATAAAGGCCCAATCAATGGCTTTAGTAGTAGAAAACTTACTCATGTGACCTGTGGCACGTGAACTATTAGAGCAATGAGACGTGGCAATTGATGTCATAAATGAGCGTATAAATACTCTCCTCTTATCTCTATCAAAAATAATGACTTTATTATAGTTCTCTCTCTATAATATATGGTTGTACGAGAATTTTTCCTTCTAAAACAATTGATTATTGTTAACTTGAATGCCAAAGTGTTTTTTTAGGCAAAACATGCAAATTACCTCCTCAACTTCTCGTGCGGTGGCAAATTACCCCCTCAACTAAATTCACATTCAAACTAACTCCCAAACTCATATATGGTGGCAAAATAGCCCTTGACGGATGATGTAAGGCAAAACAAGCAAATCACCCCCTTAACTCACCCACTAGTGGCAACTCACCCACTAATGGCAAATCACCCCCTCAACTCACTTTACGTGTAGATCACCCCCTCAACTCACCTGTAGTGGCAAATTACCCCTTCTATTAACGCCAGCACCATTCTTCCGTTAGCTTTTAACAGTCCGGTCACCCACCCCTCTTTTACTCTGATGTGGCATTTTCCTTAAAAGCACTAACCTTTGACGTTTACTTCCAGCTTTTTATTAAATATTGGAATTATTTTGGGGGGTTAGCGGGATGTATTCCAATGTCTTAAATAATGCCAAATCGTTTGCACTTTTTATTTCACGTTTTATTTGATTTGATTCAAATTTATTGATCTGTTCATGCTTTTTTTTCTTTTTTTGGAGATCGTGATTCTGCTATTTAGATGCAGAAACAAAAGCAGACAGAGGAGGAATTCAGTCGAAAGTTGCAAGAGTTGCAAGCGGAATTAGCTACGTGTAATGATTTGCAAGAAAAGCTCGAAAGGAAGATTAGTGGATTTTGTTGTTGCCATCTATGTGTTTGTGAAAATGCTTCTTAGACGTTAAGATGATCAGTTTTTCTCTAGTTACTTGTTCTTTAAGATGGATCTGTTATTACAAGTTAGTTACCTACAAAACGACAATGCTTTGCTCGAAAACAAACAAAAGGAGGTGAAAGGAACTATTAATGGCTTGCTTTAGTCTAGGGATGATCTTATAACTGCTTATCAGGTACATTACATATTCGTATGATCATCAGTGCAATATTTCTTGCTGGTAATTAGGATGAAGAGGGGAAGAAGACGATAGAAGATGATAGAAGCTGGAAAAAATAAAACATGGCAAAAATAAAACCCTAGATCCCCAAATCCCTAATTTTATTTTCTTAGAATTTAAGTGCATAAAAGTAATTTTAGGGTATTTATGCAGGTGGCTTGTCCATCTCAGCATCCATCTTAGCACAAAAATGCCACATCGGACGCAAAATAGGGGTGGGTGACCAGACTATTAAAAGCTAATGAAAGAATGGTGCTGACTTTACCAGAGGGGGTGATTTGCCACTACAGGTGAGTTGAGGAGGTGATCTACGTGTAAAGTGGGTCGAGGGGGGTCATTTGCCACCAGTGGGTGAGTTAAGGGGGTGATTTGCATGTTTTGCCGATGATGTAATCATTCCATTAACTTTCCATCAATTGTTATTTAGGTGGCATTTTCATGGACCTCTCCAATGACTTGGCTTCCGTTTGAAATTATAATATGTTTTTTTATTGTATTAATTAATATTATATCTGCTTAGGTGAGATTTTTATTTTAATTAATAATGTATTTTTTATTAATTAATTAATTCCACATTTATTCAATTTTAGTATACATAGTTTTTTTATCTTATAAAATAGAGATATAATAATTTGAGAAAAGGAAAAATAAAGATGTTCTAGTACTAAAAATGTTGGAATGTCTAATAATAGTCATATTATGAAGTTGATAAAATTAGGGCCCACTCTATACTCTACACATTTAGTGATTATGATTGGACGTCTTAATATTTTTAATGTCAATACATTATGAATTTTTCATTTTCTCTAATAATTTATTGATAAAATTTCATATTTCTCTTAATTAAATATCACATGTCATTGAATGAGTTAATGCATATAATATTATAGTTTTAATACAATAAAAAGAGCTTATTATGAAATATTGCAAGGTCTTTTTATTTTATTAGAATTGTGATATTATATGCATTACCTCATTTAATAACATGTAATATTTAATTAAAATAAATATGAAATTTTATTAATAAATTATTAGAGAAAATGAAAAATTAGGATACCCTGATATTAAAAATATCAAGATATCTAATCACAATTACCAAATGAGTAAGGAATTGTGTGAGCCCTAATTTTATCAAATTCATCATATGACTATTATTAGATGTCTTGATATTTTTAATGTTAAGATGTTTTGATTTTTCCTTTTTTCAAATTATTATGTCTCTATTTTATGGGAAAAAAAAATAAGTATACTAAAATTGAATAAATGAGGTATTGATTAATTAATAAAAAAACATTATTAATTAAAATAAAAATATCACCTGAGCATATGTAATATTAATTAATATCATAAAAAATATATTTTAACTTCAAACAAAAGTGATCATTAGAGGGGTCCACGAAAATGCCACCTAAATAACGGTTGATGAAAAATTAACGAAATGATTACATCATCCATTATAAAAAAGTTGTTTTGTTACTGTAAATGAGTTTAGGGGTTAATTTAGACATGAATTTAGTTGAGGTGGTAATTTGCCATCACATGATAAGTTGAGGGGGGAATTTGCATGTTTTGCCTTTTCCTAAGGACAATTCCTTGGGGTTTTAAAGTATTTCAAACATTCATTAGAATGTTTGAGCTTGTGAAACATCCAAAACAATTGGCGCTGTTTATGGGAATTGAAATGAAAAAAACCATATAGCCCTACATCTTAAAAGTAATCATGGTATGAACTTTTATAGGGAACTAACTACCTCAAACAAACTAGATGAAGGATCAAGACACTGTCCAATTTCCCAAGAATGAGCCTAAAGAATCCATGTAAATGCCTGAGAATCTATTTGCAAGAGGAGTTGAAGAAGCACAAGGTAACAATTATGATGAGGAACGAACTTTGATAGGCTATGCTACAAGCTTGAAGCATATAAGCATCTAACCTTGAAAGGCATTCAATTGAATAGGTATCCAGCCTACGCATTATTGCCACCTCAGGTTCCTATGTTGGCAACGCAAAATTTTAAATTGGAAGAGAGAACTAAGATCCTGGAGATGGTCATGGGAAAGATTTGATCACACCTCATTCCTAGGGACCGATTAATTCCTTTGTTGAATACAATTGAGCAATCGACTAATGTACCACTTCGACATTCCCTAACTCTAAGCAATGTTGTCATAAAAACAAGACTTAGGGGAAGTGGGTGACCTAACACTAAGCCAAGCTTTTCTAAGTCCAATGAGGAGTTGTTAAAGAAGAATGTCGAGTTGGAAAAGCAACTTAAGAAGATATAGAAGTTCGTTGATGAGCTAAAGAACCTTAGATCTCGACTCCAAGCTTTGGATCCAGATAATGGCCCTCTTAGTTCGTTTATCATGTCAAAGCCATGTCAAGAGAGATTTAAGATTCCTCACTTGGAGACATATGATGGTTTAGGAGATCTAGACAAACACCTACACTTTTACCAAGCCATTATGAAGATACAGAGTGCTTTTGATGCAATGATGTGCAAAGTATTCCTAGCTACATTGAAATCAATAGCTAAAAGCTAGTATCATATGCTTCCAAGTCACTCAATTGATTCATATTCCTAGCTCACCACGTCATTTTCCAACAAATTTGCTAGTTAGAGAGAAATCAAGCACACAGCAACCTAGCTGATACAAGTTCACCAAAATAAATGTGAAACCTTACAAGACTACATGTAAAGGTTTAACAAGACCATATTAGGGATAGACAATGTCCTAGATACCATATGTTTGTTCGCTCTCTTCTATGGGTTGAAGTTAAGGCATTTTCTAGATGATCTGTTAGACAACCCCTTGAAGACTTGGAATAAAGTTAATGATAGATTGACAAGTTTTATCTTATCTAAACATTTTCAATCATCTAAACGATGAGCAAATGATAAAGAAACAAAAGGCTTCAAATAATAAGAAGGGGGAAAGAAGATAAAAAGAAACAAAGACTTACCAACTTAAGAGG